CCAGCCAGAGCAATTCATCAACAAAGAGAAAAAGTCATCCTCTAAGATAAGAAGGAGAGAAGTAAAATGCTCCATTTGCAGAGAGAATACAATCCTTTTTTAAAATTTTATTTAAAAAATAAAACAAAATTTCATAACAAAATAAAACAAAATTTCATAACAAAATAATAAAAGAATCACAATAGTTAATATAGTGTATATCATTATTGTCAAAGTAGTTACTCAGAGTACCAAAAGGACATAGACCAAAAAGATTCTTACAAAGAAGAAACAAGCAGAAAATAACACAAAACTTTCTTGTATCAAGAAAAATAATAAATATAAGGTGATAGAAATGCTTATTAGCTTAATTTAATCATTCCACAATACATAGTCATATAAAAATATCACATTGTACTTCATATATATATATGTAAAATTATTATTTGTCAATTTTAAATTTTTAAATTAAAAAATCTTAAAGACTCCATTAAAAGGCTGTTAGAACTAGGGCCGAGAATTTAGCTCAGTGGTGCTGCTGCCTTCCTCACAAGTACAAGGTCCTAAGTTCCATCCTGGTACCAAAAAACAAAACAAAACAAAAAAAAGCTGTTAGAACTAATAAATGAATTCAATACAGTTTCAGGATACAAATCAACATACATTATTATGTTTCTATACACTAACAAACTAAACACAAACTAAACACAAGCTAAAAACAAATTTAGAGTAAAATAAATCAGACACACAAGCTTAGATATCACATGGTTTCTCTTATATGAGAAACTCATAGTATAAAATAAAGAGCAAAATAAGAGATGGATAGTAAGAAACAGGGAGATAGATCTTTTGCAAAAGGGAAGAGGACCAAGAGATGAAGGGAGGAAGGTAGGGGAGAGAGAGGGGTTAAAAAAGAATTAAGGGGTGGGGGATTTAGCTCAGTGGTTTCACCCCTTGCTGCACAAGCGCAAGGACCCGAGTTCAATCCCCAGTGCCAAAAAAAAAAAAAAAACAAGTGGAAGACATCCCATGACCATGGAAATAAAGACTTAATATTATTATAATGTCCATACAAAACAGAGTGACTTATAAATTCAATGCAATCCCTATCAAAAGTCCAATGGCATTTTTTACTGATATAGGAAAAAAATATGCTCAAATTAATGTGGAACCACAAATGACCATGAATAGTCAAAGGAATAGAAAAATAAGAAAAAAGCTAAAAGTATCATACCTTCTGACTTCAAAATACATTGCAAAATTACAACAGTTAAATTAGTATGGTGCTGGCATAAAGACTTATAGACCAAAGGAACAGAACCAAGCCCACACTTTTACAATCAATTAATTGATCTTCAACAGGATGCCAAGAACACACTAGGGGATGGATAGTATTTTCAACAAATGGTTTTTGGGGAAACTGGATATCTACAGGTAAAAGAATGAAATTAGACCCTTATCTTACTCCATGCACAAAAGTCAACTCAAAATAGATTTAAGATTTAAACATAGGACCTGAAACTGTAAAATTTCTGGAAGAAAACACTGGAGAAAACCTTCAAGATTTTGACCTTGGCAATGATTTCATAGATCAGATACCAACAGCACAAGCCACAAACACATGAGATGACCTCAAACTAAAAAGCTTCTTCTTAGCCAAAGAAAGAATTAAGAATGAAAAAGCAGGGGCCGGGGATTTAGCTCAGTGGTTCTGGCACCTGCCTCGCAAGCGCAAGGACCTGACTTCGATCCCTGGTACCAAAAAAAACAAAAAGAACAAATTGAGAAACTAGAACTTGTCAAATAATAATTTTTTTAAAAAAAAACTTTAAAAAAAGAATGAAAAAGCAATTAGGCATGGTAGCACAAGCCTGTAATCCCAGCACTCAGGAGGCTGAGGCAGGAGAATCGCTGTGATTTTGAGGCCAGCCTGGGCTACATAGAGAGACTTTGTCTCAAAAAAAAAAAAAATGTAAAAGCAACCTATGAATGGAAGAAAATACAATTGCAAACCATATATCTGTTATAAAAAAGTTACTCTCCAAATCATATGAGGACATCTAAAACTTAATAGTAAAAATAACTAATGTGATATTAAAATGGGCTAAAGACCAGAATAGGCATTCTCCAAAGAAAACATAAAAACAGCCAAAGCCATATAAAAAAAATTCTCAGTGTCACTAATCATCAGGGAAGTGGAGATCAAAATTACAATGAGAGATCACCCATATCTGTCAGGATAGTGATTGTCAAAAAAACCGAAAGACCAGGGTAAGCAAATATGTGGAGAAATTGAAACCCTGCACACTATTCATGGACGTGCAGAATGGTGCAGCCACTATTTTTAAAAAAGTATGAAAGTTTCCTTTACAAAGTTAGAGCATCAGGCATGGTGGTGCACATCTGTAATCTCAGGACTCAGAAGGCTGAGGCAGGAGGATCGCCACAAGTTCAAGGCCAGCCTGGGCTACATAATGAGTTCAAGGCCAGCCTGAACTACAAGAGCAAGACCCTGTCTCAAAACACCAAAAATAAATAAATAAATAAAATTTAAAATGTTTTGAAGTATAACTATGATTCTTTTTTTTTCTTTGCTTAAATTCTTGTATTGGTACATTTTAGGTATACAGTATGTTTACATTTATCCTAGGGTGCTTGTACCCATACATGATATAACTTGGTTACATGTGCGCCCTTCCCCCTGTCCACCCTTCCCTATTTACAAAGACTTTGATTCCATTTTTTCCTTTTCTCATAATTTTTCCTTTCCCTTCTTTCCTTTCCCCTTCCCCTCCCAATTCCCCTACCCCTTTGGACCTTTTCTTCCTATTTCAAATTATCAATTATTTATTTTAATCCTTATTTACAGTGTCTCACACTAGAGAAATTATATAATCCGGCAATTCCATTTCTGAGTACTTATATAAAAGAATTGAAATCAGGATCTCAAAAAGATATTAGGACTCCTATTTTCCTTGAAGTAATATTCATAATAGCCAAAATGTAGAAGAAATTTAAATGTCCATCAATGGATAAATGGGTTAAGAAAACTGACCCTGGCATGGTAGTAATTCTAGCACTCTAGGAGCCTGCAGCAAGAGAGTCAAAAGTTCAAGACCAGCCTCAGCAACATAGCAATTTAGCAAGACCTCTGTCTCAAAATAAAAAATGTAGCTCAGTGCAGAATCCTGGGTACACATACACACACACACACACACACACACAAACACGATAAGCAGAGGAAAATACCATTCACCCTTTAAAAGAAGGAAATTCTGTAATATGTGACAACGTGGATGAACTTTGAAGATACTGTGCTAAGTGAAAAAGGCAATCATAGAAAGACAAATATTGGATGATTCCATTTTATGAGGTGTCTAAAGTGGTCAGATTCATGGATGGTGGGATGGTGGTTACCAGGGACTAGGGGGAATTATTAATCAGCAGGCAGAAAGCATCAGTTGAGTTAAGATGAGTAATTTCAGGGAGCTGTTGTACAGCACTGATTCTATAGTTAATGTTTATGCTTTGTACTTTTTAAATTTCCTTAGAAAGGGCAGGGGGTTTAGCTCAGTGGTGCCGCTGCCTGCCTCACAAGCTCAAGGTCCTGAGTTGGATCCCTGGTACAAAAAAAAAAAAAATTCTCCTTAGAAAGGTAAGTCTCATGTTAAGTGTTCTAACAACAATAAAATATTTTTTAAAGAAGTTAGAAAAAATATTACTGAACTGGAAAATTGAGTGAGGAATTCTTGTGGAATTCAGCATGCAAGAAAGAAAATATGAATTAACGTATTTAATAAAAATAGAAAGAAAGTAGTTTCTGAAGTCAAATATCCCTCTAATAAGGATTCCAGAAGAAGAACTAAGAATAGAGAGAAAATGTTTAAAGAAATGTTGAAACTAGTACTCTGACTTTATGAATGGATTCACCCATTTGTGGTTCTATAACTTAAATGGCTGTTGGAAGATGGTGGAACTTGAAGGTAGGGCCCAGCTGGAGGAAGCAGGCCATTGAGCACATGTCCTTTGTGGGTATGTTTTGTCCCCGGCCCCTTTCTCTCATTATTTCATTGTTTCATGGCCACTGTGATGTGAGCAACTTTCTTCTCCCATGTGCTGCCCACCATGATTTTTCTGCCTCATCACAGGCCTAAGAGCAATGGAGCCAGTGACCATGGACTGACAGCTCTGAAACCATGAGCCCAAATAAACCTTTCCTCCTGTAAGTCAGAAACCTGACATGGCCCAGGGATTTAGCTCAGTGGTTCCGCCACCTGCCTTGCAAGCGCAAGGTCCCAAGTTCTATCCCTGGTACCAAAAAAAAGAAAGAAAGAAAGAAACCTGACGGACACACTCATCAGTGCCTGTAGGACCTTCCTGCAAACAGAATTCGGACTCTCAGAAGAGAATGTAGAAGGGGCCGGGGATTTAGCTCAGTGGCACCACACCTGCCTTCCAAGTGCAAGGTCCTGAGTTCAATCCCCGGTACTGGGGGGAGAAAGAAGAAGAAGAGAATGTAGATTAAAAAGATTTTGTTGTTCCGGCGCCTCCCTCGAAAGTGCAAGGTCCCAAGTTCAATCCTCGGTAACCTCCCACCCAAAAAAAGATTTTGTTGTTACCTTTGAGTTGTTTGGTTTAACACAATAACTGACAGTTTAGGGTTCATGCTTTGTTGTCTTAGTGTGTTTACTTCTGTAACAAAATACCCGGGACTGGATAAGTTATAATGAATAAAAATGTATTTCATTCACAAATCTAGAGGCTCAGAAGGCAAAACTCAAGGAGCCTTCTTGCTGCACCCTATCATGGTGGAAAGTATCACATGTAAGTGAGTAGCAAAGCTGGGGACATGGGGGAACACATCTTCTATCACGAACCCTCTCCCTCGATAACTTGACTCTCCTGTAACAATGGCATTAATCCTCTTGCAAAGACAGAGCCCTCATGACCTCATCACCTCTTAAAAGGCCCAGCTTCACACTGTTACCCTGGGGATTGAGTTCCCAACACACAGACTTTACCTTGTGAGATGCACATGGTTTTATCAATTCATTTTGCAGAGGAGCAATCCATAGGACTGGAAACTGAAGTCACTCAAGGGGGGCCATACAACTGCAAAACAGCAGAAGCTAGTCAGCCTGGCTGCGTCTCCCAACCTGACCCCCAGTCTGAGATGGGAAGATACATCATGTTCTACTGTGGAAGAAATCAGACTCTAGGGAGAGTCAAGGTCATCAGAGGCAAAAAATGGCTTTTGTTAACAGAACTTGCCCTTGACATTGAGACGGACACGTTTCAGAAAATTTGACTGCAGTAGTCAGCTTTCTCATTGCTGGGACAAATACTTGATACTCACAACTTAAAGAAGGAGAGGTCTGTTTGGCTCCCAACTTTAGAGGCTTCAGTCCGAAGTCGGCCGGCTCCACAAAGCAGAAATACTATGGCAGAAGGGCAAAGCTACTTAGTCCATGGCAGCTGAAAAGCAGAGCAGAGGTATGGTGCTAGAGAGGAAGGGCCAAATGTAGAGCTGCTGTGGTTTACATCTAGAGCCTCGTATATTCACACTGGGGCTTTGGAGGGGGATTAGATTCTGGGGGCTTAGAGCTGACTTGCTGTTGGGAAGTGGGGTCTGGTCTCTGAGGCTAGTTTCTGGGCACGGGGCTGAAAGGGCTCATCTCCCTGCCCGGCTCCTCCCTGCTCTCTGCTTCCTGTCTGCCATGCCAGGAGCAGCTATTTTGCTACCATGCCTCAGTGCCAAGCCATCCCACCCTGGAGCCAGCTGACTATAGACTGAAACCTCTACGGATTATGAGCCAAAATAAACCTCCCCTCCTTTAAATTGTGAGTGTCAGGTACTGTGCCTAGGCAATGAGAGAGTGACTAAGACAACAACCCGCCCAGACACACCTAGGCATGTGCTCCGAGAATCCCTAGGCGGTTCCAGAGCCAGTCAAGCTGAGTTAGGCTTAACCATCACATTGACCTTGACATCAGATAGGCAGCATGCTTCAGGTGTACCACGAGAGCTAGAGAAAGAGCTAGTGTCAGGGTGAACGGGTTTTAAACTAGAGACCCTCGTGCAGCCAGGGAACAGTGTATCCCAGCATGGAGCACTGTGCCCAGACCCAGAGAGCTTAAGTCACCAGACTGCTGTCCCTCACACCGGTCTGTCTTCAGGAAAGGAAACCCTCCTCGACCTGGATGACAACCCCAGCAGGCCTGTGACTTTTCTGCTCATTCTCAAAATAGTCTGTGGTCACTCTTAGTTGCAAAAGCAGCAACACTCCAGACATTAGACTGTTAATGCAAGGTATTCATCAAGTGCCTGAGCTTATTTTTACCTTGACTTCTCTTCCCCCCTCCCCTGCTTAAGCCTGGCCAGCTGGAAGCCTCCGCGAAGGCAGTGTAGGGGTGTTGGCGTCTTCTCTCTTTTTCCACTCTGTCTCCCTAGCCAGACGCAGCTAATACTACAGCTGCCCTGGTGGAGGGTATTGGAGGAGGGGCTGCTGCAGCTGTAAATCAGTCAGGCTTTCTGCCAGGCAGATGTGAAATTCGGCCTCCTCCTCATGGGGTGCTTTTATACCCACTGCACTGGCTCAGCCTCTGGTTATCTCCAACCTGTGGCTGTATCTCAAGTCCAATCTCATTTCAGATACTTGACATCCTCAGCTCCTGGGCTTCACCTCCACCCATTCTACTGGAGTAGCTCTACACAGGACCCAAGATGTGGAGTTTGCTATGGTTTGATGTGGCCCCCAAAAGCCCGTGATCAGGTGATGGGGCTGGGTGAAGTCTCATGGCAGAGTGATGGGATGGCATTCGTATCTTCATGAGGAGAAGAGAAGAGACCTGAGCTAGCAGTGTTCTAGGGCTCACCGTGTGATCCCCTCTGCCAGACCGTACTGTGATGTCCAAGAAGGCTCCTGTCAGATGCTGAGCAAATGCTGGCTAACATTATGCTCTTGAACTTGCCACCCTCCAGCACTGTGAAAGACGAAGCTCTGATCTACATCAGCTCCTATGGCTTGACTCTATCCACATGCTCCAAACAAACTTCTATATGTCACCAATCACCCAGTCTCAAGTATTTCATTACAGTAGCAGAAAAACAGGCTAAGATAGGCCCTTTGCATGCTCTCTCTCCTGTGGGGCCTGTACCCATTTGGATGAAATTTTCATGTTTCCCTTACTCTGAGAACACTCTGGGAGGGCCAGCTGGGCCCAGCAAGGTGCTAGGGGCCCCTCACTGTCCCGGTTTCCCTCCAGCTGTGGGTCACACGTTAGGCTCTTAGAGAAACCAGCCCACAGACACTCACTGATTGAGATGAGGATGCAGAGCTCACCCTGTCCCCTAGATAAGACCCATAATACAGGTTTCTTGGAGGACATCCTTCCCACAAACCCTTGCTGTCTGCCATCTATCCACTACTCTTAAGTCTAAGAGCAGCCAATAGATTTCAAAAACTGGATGCAGGGCCGGGGATTTAGCTCACAGTTTCACCGCCTGCTGCGTGAGGGCAAGGACCCGAGTTCAATCCCCGGTAACAAAAACAACTGGATGCAACAACATAGGCCTGTAATCCCAGCTGCCTGGGAGGCTGAGATGGGAGAATCACGAATTCAGGACCACCCTGGACAACCTAGCAAGAGCTTATCTCAAAATTTTAAAAGTAAAATAAGGGCCAGGGATTTAGCTCAGTGGTTCTAGCGCCTGCCTCACAAGCGCAAGGTCCCAAGTTCAATCCCCGGTACCAAAAAAAAAAAAAAAAAAAAAACTAAAATAAAAAGGGCTGGAGGTGTCAGTGGTAGAGCACTTGTAGCATGCAGGTACCACAAATGCATGCACGCACACACACACACACACACACACACAAAATAGTGGGGTAGAATTTTAGCATCTCTTTAAAAAATCATCAAAAAGTGAGCTGGCATCTCTCCATTTCCACATCTATGGCACATATTGGTGCTCAGTAGAAAATTTAATTTTAAGACCCTACTACATTGATGTGAATTGACCTTCTTCCTTCTTCCCAAGTACAGATAACATTTTCTATTTTAGAGGTGAGGAAAAGTCATTTCTAAGAGGTCAGAGAGGTATGGCCAGTGTCACCCAACCATTACTGATAGGGCTGGCATTCACCAGGTCTGTCTGGCAGCTTTTGAAAGACGCATGCTCCCTGCCCCAAGCCGTGGGAAAAATGTGGGGATGCACGGGGAAGCGTTTCCCTCATTTAGGGACCAGGTCACCAGAAGAGCCTCCACTATACTTTAGCTCGGATCTGCATCAGCTCCATGGCTTGGGGGACACAGGCTCACAGGACACACTCTGAGACCTGGCTTAGGGGAAGAGCTGGGAGACCTCAGGCTGTAGGAGAGAATGGCAGGCCTACTGATGCAACAACTGTCCCCACTGGATGTGATTTTTCGGCTGACTCACCTGCTCTGCTATCCAAGCCAAACACTATGGGGCAGGGCTTGGTTTGGCCAACACTGTAGCTGGGGATCCTGTGCTGGGATCCCAGGCAGGTCTTTGCCTTGGTGTTTTCTCATGTGGCTGAGCCTTGTTTTCTTCACAACATCTGTGAACTTGTTGTTTTGGGCTTTGTTTTTACATACAATTGGCCTGTAATAGGTGCATTACTGTCCCACGAGGGGTTGAGCTAAATTCATACTAAGGTCTGAAACACTTTTCCCAGGAAGCAATGTGCAGTGACCAACCTCTACCCATCACAAGATGATTTTTCAGTACACCATGGGATGCAGGCTTCTGCCCATCAAAGCTCAGCACACCTCTGTACTCCAGAAAGTCTCTGCACGATGGTAACTATTTCTCTCCACACCACCTCAGCTTTCATATCTGTAAAATGTGGCGATTACAGAACCTGCTACATAAGATTGTTGTAAGGATCAAGTGAATTAGATATACGTGAAGTGCTTGCAAGTGCACCTGGTGTATAGTAGGTGCTCTGAGTGGCTGCTAGTGTCGGTGTGAGTGGTGCTAATTAGAATCGCAAAGCCCTGACTCACAAGTGATCCCCCCGCTCCCACGTCTTAAACCTCTCTCTTTCTCTCTTCAAATTCCTTCGCTTGGCTCATTAACCCAACTCCAACACGCATAGCCACCCATTTCCTGCCTCTCCACCCTGCAAGTCCAGCATCTGAAAACTGGGGTGTGAACGCACTTCTGCACACGCACACTCGGCTACCAGCTCACAGGGGAGAGCTGAGACGCTTCCCGCCGTCGCACCCGTGAAACTGCAAAGCCCACAAATAACCTTCTTTTGCCAAATTCACAGCGCACCTTCCAGTTTTTGTACCCGGGCCTTTCTTCCTTATCCTGACCTCACTGATTTCCTGTCTTTCCTACAACTTCTCTTCCTGGCCTCTCCATCCGCCCATTCTCTGGACTCCCCTCCGCCTCCTTTCCCAGGCTCCTGCTTCTCAGTCCCTTGACAGTGACGCTGCAGCCCCTGCTCTGCTCAGCCACCCTCGCCCCTGGGAGGAGTATGCACTGCCACACGCTTGTCACCTTTCTCTGATCACAGCACGGATGACATTTCCAGCCTCTCCCAAGCTCCAGATCAGAGTGCCCAGAACGAGCTATCTGGTTACAGCCAGAGGTCTTGGCACTGTCTAGGGCCAGACATGTCCTCCTGCTGAGCCCGCTGTCCTGCAGGAAGCCCTCTCTCCACTGGTGACTCCATCACCTTCTCCCAGGTGGGAGCCTCAGGAAATGCCCTAGATGTCTCCCTTAGCCACACATGAAGTCCAGCCGGGATAACTTCCTACCCTTTTGCAAGCCCATCTGCTTCTCTCCATGAGCCTATGTCAGCTGCAGACAGGCAGAGCATTGTCTCCAACTCTGTATTCATATTCCTCCTTCCCTTCTTCCTTTCATGCTCCCTCGTTCTCCATGTATTTAGTCAGTCAGCAAACACAAGTTGAACTTCTACATTGTACCAGGCTCTAGGAATTTAAAGAGTGGAGGGAAAAAAAGATAATGCCCCTGAGATCAGGGAGCTCACCACATCATTTGAGAGGGACATCAAGAACCCCAGTGCCAGGAAATATCCACAACAAGGAGTCCAGAAGCCACTCTCTGGACTCATAAA